CTGCGACCTCTTGTCGCGTGACGCGATGACGGCCTACCTGCCGTGGGGGGGCATCGAGAGGCTATTGCTTCTGCGCGCTCTGTCCAAGAAGCCGCCGCCGGGGCCGCAGCCTGGCGAGATCGCGATGGCCGCGGGCGCGATCTACGGGGCGCGCGGCGCTGGTCGGCAGCGGTGCGAGCCGCTGGAGGCATGCGATCTCATCGCTGGAGAAGAAGCTGCACCTCAAGGGGGGCGAGGGGGTCATCAAGTACTGCGGATTTACTATCACCAAGCCCAACGACGAGCTCAGGGTGACCCAAGCCACCGCGGCCTCGCAGGTGGACTTGTCGACCTGAAGGCCCAGCGCGGTCGCGGTGCGGAGGTCCGACTCACCATCTCCGAGATGTCAAGTTGTCGACGCACGTTCGGGCAGTTGTTGTGGCTGGCAGTCCAGACCCGGGTCGACATTGCGTGCCTGGTGAGTTTCGCGGCCCGCCGTGCCAGCGCCGCCGCTGTGGCCAATGCGAAGGCGCTCAACAAGACTGTCGCTTACGTGCACTCCACGGCAAACTTCGCGATCGTGCTCCGGCGTAACCTCGTCGACCTGATGACTTGCGCCCCCGTGAGGTTCAGCGTCGCCGCGTTCGCTAGCGTGGACGGGGTCAAAAGCCAGCACGGCATGGCGATTGGGCCCACGCATCGCCCTCGCGATGTGTCGTCGGAGGCCGCTACGACCTCTGCCTGCCCGTGGCCTAGCGCTCAGGCGCTGCGAAGCGGGCGGCGAATTCGACTTGCGCCGCCGAGGGCTACGCGACCCTTGAAGGAGCGGAGACTAACATATGTTTCCGCCAGCTGCTGACCGAGGCCAACAACGCAGGCCCAAGGAGGTGCCCGAGCAGATCGACGTCCTCGCATACAAGCCCTCCAGGAAGGTCCACAGCTAAAGCAAGGGCCTCGCGACGCAAATCCAGTCCGATGTGAGCCAGCCCCCGGACAAGCGGTTCCGCATCGCAGCCTCCATGACCAAGGAGGCCGTTCACCCGAACGAGGCCCATCGGCCCAGTTGGGTCCCCAACTGGGCCATGGTCGCCAACGCCTTGACGAAGGCGATGGGCCCGCAAGCGCACTGACGGCGCTAGGCTGCCGAACGCTGCCACGCTCGCCTCTGTCCTGTTCACCTGCCTCGGAAAGGTCAGAGGGCGGCGTGCGCCATCACCGGCGGCGCCCAGCGACTGCAGCTTCTACTGCGACGCGTGCTGCATCGCGGTATTCACCCTGGGCATGATGATGGGTTTCGGCATCTTCGCCAGCGCGTGGAAGGTCATGAGGCAAATTCACTCGCTCCAGAAGGCGAATCCGAACGAGCACAGCGCCGAGCGCAAGACTTTAAACGGCGAGTACCCTGGTTGGGATGGACGTCATCTCGGCAGACGCTACAATCCAACGAGCCAGCCAAACATTCCAGTGGAGCATGACTACGATGGGGGCGTCCATATGTTTCCTGCGGATGGCACTGAGAGCAGCATGCAGGCATTGAGCGCATCATCTTCCAGCGCAGCAGCTGCGCCACAGCTTCCCTGGCCGCCGCGCGCATCAGCCCCGGGAAGCAGAAGGTCCACGCGCACTTCGCCGAGCGCGGTTTTGGTTTCGAGCTCATCAAGTACAGGCGTGGTTTCTTTGAAAGGATCTACGCCGACAGTGCCATCTCTGTGACTGAACATCTGCGCGACCAAACGCCGCGAGTTCATCGCGGGGCACTGCGCCCGCAGTGCCTGCATCATTTGCAAGACCTGCGAGAAGCACGCGTCTTGGCTCCGACGCAACTACGCAACCCGCGAGCCGGATTTCTCGAGGATGCACAATTCGGTGCGATGGGATCTTATGAGTTTCTGGGGAAAGGTAACTCTCGCGGAGCCGCACGCGAAGGGCAACAAGGCCAATCGGGCCTTATGAGTGAGTCCATCCGCTGCAGAAGCCGCGTTAATCATCGACGTACGTCCGCATTGCCAGTCTCTTGTTACACCCGGTCTAAAGATGCACGCGCCAATCCGCAGTGCCATCGCAAGTTTCATTCAGTGTGCGTAATTGTTTTTGAATGATGCGGCGACGACCGCAGCATTTGACATTCAGATCTTGCCGCGAGGGTGACAATATTGTTGTCCTTCTTGCCGGGTGCCCGCCGCAGATTGCCGCCGGCCGTGAGAGAAGGTGTTCGTTCACAGGCTTGTGTAGCGCATCCAATAAAATGGCCCCAGGGCCCCCTGTTGCAAGCCGACTTTTGCCGTTTTCCTACCCTAGCCCCGAGATGTGCAGAGCCCGGCGCTCTGCTGCCGTCGAATTATTTCGATAATCCGATCCGTTCAACGAATGGAGGGTCCGTTTGTCGACATGCCCGAAGCGAGTGTCCATTGATCTGCCCGACGCTCTCTGGACGCGGAACTGCCAGCGCTTTTTCGAGAGCCGTGCAAGGGGGAGTGTGATGATTTGCGCTCCCCAGCGCTCAATTCCCCCGCTTCCGCTTCGCTTTCGCTCATTGCGGGTGTTCCCCTCTCTCTCATGTTCTGCCTGCAATCGTTTCTTTCGAACAGGGCCTTCGCCTACGAGCTACGCCTGTTGTTCGCGCCGCGCTCGCAGCAAGACCATCGGGGGTGCCGGGCGCCCATCCATCTCACAGAAAGGCTCCTGCGTTCCCTTGAAGGCTTTTGCGACTGCCGGATCCGGCGCCCCTGACAGGTTTTGGGGTTTTGGCTCTGGCCCGCTCCTTCCTCTTGCGTGCAACTCCTGGGAGGTTAAATTCTGAATCGGCCAAGGTATTTCCCCGGCGCAAATTTGGCCGGATCTCGGTTTATTGCCCGATGGGTTGGGCCCAATGCCGTTGGATCCAGATGAATCCCACTTAGCACAGTATCATCCCGCTTCATCCAGTTGTACCCTGGTATTAAGTTTGCTTGATTTGGCCCATTAGTTCATATGTCGTAATTGTTATGAAGAAAACCTGCCTGGAATTGCCTGTTAACTTCCAAGAAGACAGCACGCACGCCAAAACAATTAGCCCGGCGACGGACCCAACCATATGGAGTTGTCAGCACCGTCGTTGTATGCACCGCATTCGGAGGAGGTCCGTATAAAGCGACAAAGCGTGTGAGCGGTGTGTCAAAAATTGTCTGGTAGGCGCATGCGGGACCAGCCACTTGGGCCGTCGGTGGAAATCCATATGGGGCCACGAAGCGCGTGCGGGTGTGCCGAAATGAGTGCGGTGGGCGCAGGCGAAAGCAGCCACTGGTGCTTTCGATGGGGCCCCCTTTGGGGCAACGAAACACGTGATGGGGCGTGCCCGACTGTGCGTGGGTGGCGCATGCGGGCTACGAAACGTGTGAGCTCGTTGGAGCTCCCCATGGGGCCACGAAACGTGTGAGGGGTGTGACTCACTTGGTGTGGGTGACGCATGCGGGCGGTGGCACTGCGGCCTTCGGTGAAGCCCCCTTGGGGGCCACGGCGCGCGTGCGGGGTGTGCCGGAATGGGCGTGGGTGGCGCATGCCGGCGGTGGCATTGGGGCCTCCGGGGGAGCTTTGTATGGGGCCACGAAACGTGCGACTGGTGTGGCACAATGGGTGTGGGCGACGCGTGCGGGCGGTGGCAATGTCGTTCTCGGTGGAACTCCCTATAAAGGGGGCACGAAACGTGTAAGGGGTGTGATGACATGGGTGTGGGTGACGCATGCGGGCGGTGGCACCAGGGCCCTCGGTGGAGCTCTTTGTGGGGGCTCGAAACGTGTGAGGGGTGTGACGAAACGGGTGTGAGTGACGCATTCGGGCGGTGGCACTAAGGCCTTCGGTGGAGCTCCCTACGGGGCCACGAAGCATGTGAGGGGTGTGGCGCAATGGGTGTGGGTGACGCATGCGGGCGGTTGCACTGGGGCCTTCGTTGGAACTCCTTATGGGGGTTCGAAACGTGTGAGGAGTGTGTCGACGTGGGTGTGGGTGACGCATACGGGCGGTGGCACTAAGGCCTTCGGTGGAGCTTTCTACGGGGCCACGAAGCGTGTGAGGGGTGTGGCGAAATGCGCGTGGGTGACGCATGCGGGGGGTGGCACTTGCACCTTGGTTGGGGCTCCCTATGGGGCCACGAAGCGAGTCAGGTGTGTAACGACATGGGTGCTGGTGACGCGCGGTGTCACTATGCGGCCACGTAACGTGTAAGGGGTGTGACGAAACGGGTGTGGTTGACTCATGCGGGCGGTGGCACTGGGGCCTCCGGTGGAGCTCCCGACGTGGCCACGAAACGTGTGATTGGTGTGTCGAAGTGGGTGTGGGTGACGCATGCGGGCGGTGGCACTGTGGCCTTCGGTGGAGTTCCCTATGGGGCCACGAAACGTGTGAGGAGTGTGTGCCGAAATGGGTGTGGGTGACGTATGCGGGCGGTGGCACTTGGGCGTTCGGTGGAGTTCACTATGGGGCGACGAAACGTGTGAGTGGTGTACCGAAATGGGTGTGGGTGGCGCATGCGGGCGGTGGCACTTGGGCGTTCGGTGGAGTTCACTATGGGGCCACGAAACGTGTGAGTGGTGTGGCGAAATGGATGTGGATGGCGCATGCGGACGGTGGCACTGTGGCCTTCAGTCGAGCTCCCTATGGGCCACGAAACGTGTGAGGGGTGTGCCGAAATGGGTGTGGGTGACGCATGCGGGCGGTGGCACTGAGGCCTTCGGTGGAGTTCCCTATGGGGCTTCGAAACGTTGTACTGGGTGGGTGAAACGCAGGGTGGAGGGAGGAGGGGGAGGAGGGAGGAGGAAGGAAGGAAGAAAGGAGGAGACGCGGGGACCGTCTCTTCGAAACGAGGACCCAACACCACAGGTCGGTTGGGAAAAGTTCTGCCTGCCCACGGGTGCCGTACGAGAACTGCTTATCTCCCGATGGATCCGCAGGGCCCTGGGGCATGTTGCACAGCTCCAGGTCGAGGAAGTAAGTGCCCTAGATTTACCTTCGTCATGATGGATGCCCACCCCAACCCTCAGCCCCAGGATCGTGGCCGTCGTCGGGAGCATACACGTCCCCGGCATCGAGGACGGCAGGGCGGCTGCCAGGGTCCGGCCCAGACCAGCGGCTGGCAGAAGTTGCGTTCACGAGCTTTTCGCTTCGCGTTGCGCGCTGCCGGGTCTGCCCTGCCGCGACGCGCAGACCTTGTCCAAGCGTCACTGCCCCGCGCCTTTCCCAGCCTCCCGCCCCGCGGAGCGGAGCGACGACATGGCGTGTCGCCGGGGCCGCCGCGACATGCTGAACGACAATCTCTAGCAGTAAGCTTTCAGGGCTAATGACGTGGGCACCCGCTAGCGCGCACCCTTACAGCACGCAGGGAAGCGGCAACACAATCACGACTTTCGCACGGCAAGATCGCTTCCTGGCGCCAATCGGGGCACTGATCTTTCAAGTACGGGTCGGAGAGATGCGGAAGTTTTCCCCCCCCCGTTTCCTTTACAATTGGGTTGGTTGCACCGTTTCCTCCATGCATGGAGTGGCTCGCCCAAAGGAGTTCAGAGAGGCAGGGGTGGTCTTAGGACAGGGCGTCAAAAAGATGATGAGGAAGCCGGAGCTGAGGGGGACTCGTCCACCTCCCTCATTATCCTGTCGATGTCTGGTGAGGTCGGTCGAAATTGGGGCAAACGTTTACCTCTGCGTCTCTCTTCTGTTGTCTTCCCCTCCCTGCTTTGGCTTCCGTGTTCTTGCCTCCTCTTTTCTCTCTCTCTCTCTCTCTTTCTCTTTCTTTCTCTCTTTATTTCTCTCTCTCTCTCTCTATCCCTCTTCTCTTTTTCTCTCTCTCTCTCTCTCTCTCTCTCTCTTTGTCTGTATGTACATACATGTATTTATACATATATATATATATATGTGTATATATATATATATATATATATGTGAAAGAGCGTGTTCTACCGCTGCTGGCGGAAAACCGGGGCGGGTCACTACCGGTTCGAACCCCTCCCCCCCCCCCCTCCGGAAAACCGGGGGGGGGTCACTACCGGTTCGAACCCCTCCCCCCCCACCCCCCCCCCAGCTCATCATGAAAAGGGGGGGGGGGTCACTACCGGTTCGAACCCCCCCCCCCCCTCGAAAACCGAGTGGGGGTGCGGACAGTGGTGGGGACGGTGTTGGTGGGGACAGTGGTGAGGGGACAGCGGGACAGTGGTGGGGACAGTGGGGGGACAGTGGGACAGCGGTGGGGACGGTAGTGGTGGGGACAGTGGTGGGGACAATGGTGGGAACAGGGGGGACAGTGGACAGTGGTGGGAACGGTGGTGGTGGGGACAGTGGTGTGGGGACAGTGGGAATGAGGTGGAAACACTGGGACAGTGGAGGGTACAATGGTGGTGGGGACACTGGTAAAGGCGTCGGCGAGGACGGCGGTGGGACAATGGGACAGAGGTACAGTGGGGACAGTGGTGGGGACAGTGGGGACAGTGGTGGGAACAGTGGGACAGCTCAGTGGGACAGCGGAGGAGTCAGTGGGACAGTGGGGACAGTGGGGATAGGCAGTGGTTGGGTCCGTGGAGACAGTGGGGAGAGTGGAACCGTGGTGGGAACAGTTGTGGGAACAGTGGGGACAGTGCGACAGTGGTGGGGGCACTGGTGGGGACAATAGGGACGGTGGTGGAACCAGCGGGGACAGTGGTGGTGAGGACAGTGGTGCTGGGAACAACAGTGGGGGATGTGATGCGAGCGGTGGTAGGGACCGGGAGTCGTTTGCTGGCGGTGCGTGGGGGGGGGGGGTCGAACCGGTAGTGACCCCCCTCTGGTTTTCGAGGGGGGGGGGTCCAACCGGTAGTGACCCCCCCCGGTTTTCCGGATCCGGAGGGGGGGGGGAGGGGTTCGAACCGGTAGTGACCCCCCCCGGTTTTCGAGGGGGAGGGGGGAGGGGGGGGGGTTAGGGGAGGGGGGGGTTTTGCCGGGGGGAAGGGGGGGGGTTCCAGCAGGGGGGGGGGGATTTTCGGAGGGGGGGGGGGGGACCCCCGGGTTCCGGAGGAAAAGGTTGGCAATTTTCCACAGTAAAGCGCTCTCTCTCTCTCTCTCTCTCTCTCTTATATATATATATATATTATATATATATATATATATATATATATATATATATATATATATGCATATCCGAAAGGGCTTCGCCCTCTGCCGGTGGTCCCTTTCGCAAATATAACGGCAATTGCAGGTGCTATGTTGGGATGCCTGGGCGCCGTCGGGAAGCAGTATCGAAGCCTCGTGCAAGGATCGGTGAAACGTCAGAATCGAGGAAGCCGGAACTCGGGTTCGCCGACGCTTTTTGTCGAGCGTGTCTTGGACTTAAACGGTCCAGTTTTCGTGGGATGTTTGCAGTGGGAGTTCGCGTACAATTTTCAGATTGAGGCTCGTCATTTTTATGATGGCCCCGTCAGGCCAACCCGAGTCCCCCGTACCCGAGAGTTACGTCCCCCCGAAACGAGGATTGATAATCTTCCGGACAAGCTGGGATTCAGATGATATTGTTGATCTTTGTGTTGCCTTTTTTGAACTCTCCCTCATGCCTTGTATCGGAGGCCCTCTTGGAACGACTGTGGGCTGCTCGAGGGTACGTTGGGCAGCATTGTGCGGCTTGGACGGTCTTGGGGTTCCTCGGCGTATTTTTCGAGGGTCCGTGGCCTCGGGGGTCGGCGAGTGTGACGCAACGTAGTGGGATTCGTTGACTCGGGGGCGCGACGATGGCGCGATCAATGAGATACCGTGGCATAGTTCACGAGGGGCCATGGCCTCGGGGACGCGAACACGGCACGATGTGCGAAGGGTCGTCGCCCCGAGGGCGTGAGTGTTGCGCATGCTGCCAGTGGTGCCTGGCCTCGAGGGCGCGAGTCAGTGGTAAGGGGTCGTCGCCACAGAGACCCGAGCATCGCATACTTCACAAGCGATTGCGGCCTGTTGAACGCAACCCTGGCGTAACGTATCGAAGAAACGCGAGTACCTCACACGTTACAATGGGTCGTGGCCCCAGGAACGCGGACATTGCATACTTTACCCACGAGCGTGGCCTCGGTGACGCGATCATGGGATACTTTGCGAGGGATCGTGGCTTCGGAGACCCGAATTGGGTTAATCGATTTGAGATCGTGGCTTCGGAAACGCTAGCATTGTGCAAGTTACATGACATCGAGGCTTCGGGGACGCGAATCTGATATGATGCATGCGGGATCGTGGCCTCCTGGACGCGATTTTTGTATACTTTTGAAGAGGGTCGCGGCCTTGGAGACGCGACATGTGCGCGTTTACAAAGAGAAGGATCGTGGCCTCGGGGATGCCGATACGGTTTGTTTTGTCAGGGATCTTGCGTAATTTGCCATGGATTGCAATTTCGGGGAACCGAGCATGGCGTAAGGTACCAGGGACCGTTTCTGAGAACCCGAATCGGGCGTACTTTCCGAGGGATCGTAACTTCGGGGACGCGGATCGTGTGTATTTTAACCCAGCGGCGTGGCCTCGGGGACACGATTGTTGTGTCATTTACAAGGGGTCGTGGCGTCGGCAACACTTACGAGGAATCGTGGCCACAGGGGCCTGGACATTGAGCAACTCACCAGGCAGCGTGACCTCAGCCACGCGAACCGCGCGTGATTTGCAAGGGGTCATGGCCCCAGGGGCGCGAACATTGCATGATTGACCAGGGACCGTAGCCGCGGGGACGCGAAGAACGCGTGATTTGCGAGGGGCCGCGGCCTCGGGGGCACGGCTGTGGTGTGAGTTGCAAAGGATCTTGTCAGCGGAAACGCTCATGTTGTGCAGTGTGCGACGGTTCGTGGCCTTTTGCCCTGGCCTCCAGTCCCAGGCAACTTGTTGCCCTTGGAGCCTGCTCGTCAGCGGTGCACTGCAAAAAAGACGGTTCGTGGCCTCGGGGACGCGAACGTGCAAGGCATCGTGGCCTCGGGGGCACGAAGGTCATGCACTTTTACACATCCCACGGCCCCGCAGGAATTGAGGCAACGAGGTCTGGGGGTTCTCAAAAGCTTGTTTGGGGCTCCCCTCCCTCGCGCGATCAAGGAACAATGTGCAGCAGGAGATAGAACGTAGGACTATAACGCGGGAGACTTGCAACTGGAATTGGACAAGGGAGCAGCAAGCTTAAGCCACGCAGCCGAATGACCCCACAAGGGGCCCGGCGGATATGATACATGTGTGTATGTATGTATTTGCATGTGTATATATATATGTATATCAATATATAGCCCACTATCCATATACATATGCATATATTTTTTATACGCGAACATCTAATACGTAAAATGTATGGTTCTCTCTCTCTCTCTCCTTCTCTCGTTCCCTCTGTCTCTCTCTCTCTCTTTTCTCCTTCTGTGTCTCTCTTCATCGGTTCCTTGTTCTTTCTCTTTCCTCGTTCTGCCTCCCGCGTCCCCTGCCGTTGTTTCGTAATTCGTCTCGTCCTTGTCGTCCTCCTGTCAATCAGTTTCTCGCTTCGGCCTTCTCCGTCCTCCCCCCTGCCCCTGCATCCTCCCTCCTCTGCACCCTCCTCGCCGCCTGGGGGCGGTCTGGTGGAACCCAGGGCGCGGGGGAGCTCAGCTGAGGCCTCGTGCGCGCTGGGGCATTCTTGTTAAAAGGCTTGGGGCCCGAGAGACGCCCGGACGAGGAGGAGGAGGAACCGGGGGACCAGGAGGCTGACGTAGACTCTGACACCGCGTCGCCGTAACATTCCGACGGGCCTTCGGGGTCCGTGTCGGGCCCAGTGTCCAACACAGGTAGTACTGGTCAGAGCAATCACTCACGCGAAGGGGGACGAGAGTTCCTGCCAATTTTTTTTTCCAACGGCGTAGCACTTTGTTGCAAGCACGGCATCTGGCAGGGCTGGTGGGCTCGAGCTCCTGTCGTTTGCAAGGCGCCAGCGCTTGCGGCCAACCGGTGCTGACGTCTTAGAGTCTTAGAGTGATGCCGAGCCAGATTTGGGTAGAAAGGTCTTTGTCTGCGGCGGGCCACCCCTTCTGCGATCGGATAAGCTGGCCGCACACACCTGCGCCAGCTAATCGCGCGTGCCTGGGTTGCTCGGGGGGGGGACGGTGCCGTTGAGCGGCCAGGCCTCTTATCTTTAGCCAGTATGCACCTGCTGGAGGCGTCGCTCCGTGCTGGCCGGCGCAGCACACGCAGCTCACGCACACGCCGCATCCGCCAGCCTCCCAGATGGGGTCTGAGTGGATGGGGTCGGAGGATCGCGCCACATTCCCGGGGCATTTGCGATGCGACTCAACGTGGAGCCCGATATTCTCCGCGCCGACGGCGCCGATGCATCGCCGACGTCGCCGATTTATCGCCGATGCGTCGGTGATGCATCGCCGACGTATCAGCGATGCAGCGAGCTCCTCCGACCCCATCTACTCGGACCGCATCTATGATGCCTCAGTACAAGGATTCATGGGAGGCGGAGCAGGCGGATGGGGGGGCCCCAGGCTAGAATTAGGATTTCACAGATATCTTATAGAACCCGGCGGAATCACATAAATATGAAAGGTGGGTTAGCAATTCTCATGCTTACAGTGCGTTACGAAGCAGACGGCTTGCGAACACTAGCATCGCAGGAGTCATAAAAACAGGTTGTTTGCACATTGCTGCGACGAGTTCACTGAATTCCAAAGGGAATTGCCCGGAGCCCGCAGGGATTCACAGATGATCGACAGAAAAGGGCAAGGAACCCAAAACGACCCAGTTTGAACACAATGGCCATACAAAGGAGCATACAAAAGAAAAACACATCTCATATTGGAGCACGTGGATCCCAGGCCGCAAGGGCAGTTAGAAATACATATAATGCAAGGAGACCCTAGAAGCAGGAACGGCTCGTATGAATACTTCTCGAGGGGCGTTGCCCAGCGTGCGGAAAACCAGCACACGGTGCAGGTCGTACAATCATCACGTTTGAGGATTCGAAATTGAAGTGTCGATCGGTAGCGCGATATTTGTTTCAGTATGGGATACCCCGACCTGCCAGTTGAATTAACGAATACATAGTCGGGCGTGGTATTCTATGTGATGGGAAGGTCCCTGGCTGTAGAGAGTCTCTTAGTGAGGTGCCCAGGCTTTCGTAATCGTCTTGGCTCACGCCGACGACGCGGCTGGGGATCCTTCGCAGTAGGAGCTCACAGCAGATTTACAACACACTCTCGCGCATCGGACAAAACGCTTCTGGCGCTTGTTGCGTTCCAGGAATGCAGGTGGGCCATTGCGTGGAGAAGGCGATCGTCCATGCCGTGAGCTTCGAGCAGGCACACGTTGCAGGTGAAAGTCATTGCCGCACAGGCTCACGCCTCTCTTCTGCCGCTGACGACGCAGCCCACGGCGGCTCTTCCGCAGTCTTACCACCCACCAGTCTTGGCGCCTGGGCCGACGTCTCCGACTCCGAGGAGGAACTGGGGGATCGTTCCTCCTTCTCGCCCTTGGCGGGGGCCAGCACCTTCATCGGAGGAGGGGCCGGCCGAGCTGGCGGCAACGGCCGAGATGGCCGTGTCCTTCCTCGTCCCTTCTTGGGCCTCCCGGAGGCTGCTCGTCGCCGCGGCCTGGTCCCGTGTCGCGGAGCGGGCCAGGACAGGCAACGGGAGGGGTCCGGGGACCGATGTTGCGCGGAGGGGATCGGAGGTGATCGGAGGTGGAGGAGGAGGAGGAGGAGGAGGAGGAGGAGGAGGAGGAGGAGGAGGAGGAGGAGGGAGGAGGAGGAGGAGGAGGAGGGAGGAGGAGGAGGGAGGAGGAGGAGGGAGGAGGAGGAGGAGGAGGAGGAGGAGGAGGAGGAGGCGGAGGAGGAGGAGGGAGGGAGGGAGGGAGGGAGGGAGGGAGGAGAGGGCCGGGCGGGACAGCCGACATTGTCTCAGTTGGCTCTCCTCCGGCTTCAATCCCACAGTCGGGATCCACCCTGCACTCAAGGCGAGCGAAGAGGCGCCCGCAAAAGCCGTTCAGCAGCGGGCGTCGGGAAGTGCGCGCACGCCCCTGAACGGCAGGGCGTTGACGTTTGTCCCGTGCAGCCCCGGCACCAGCATGGGTCCACCGTCCGGTCCAAGCTCTCCGCACACTTTCAGCACGAGGGCGCGGGATCCTGGATATTATCTGGACGGCTCTGTTTCTGAAACGCACCGATTGGGCCCCAGACCCAGACAGCCAGCAGCCGCAGGCCCAGGCGGCGACCGGCCCCTGCGGCAGGTGTCGACCCAGACCCAAACGGCTACCACGGCGATGCTGCGCAACTTACCATGTGGCTTGACACGCAAGGCTTTGATTTGGACTTTGAACAACAAGGGTTTTGCAGGGCTTTACGACTTCGTCTACGTGCCTATAGACTGTGAGAGTGGGCTCTGCATGGGATTCGCCTTCGTGAACCTGACTTCCGCGGAGCACGTGCAGTACCTCAAAGAGGCTTTTGACGGTCACAGCCGTTGGTCTACCAGATTACGTGCGTGCCCGAAGGTCTGCAGCGTTACCCTGTCCAAGACGCAGGGCCTGGCGGCAAACATCGAGCGCTATCGGAACAGCCCCGTATTGGGCGACCAGGCCGCCGCAAGCGGCCATGTTCTCGTTCTCTCGCTGATCGTTCTGCTCTCCGCATACCCATTTTCGGATGCAACTTACAGGAGGTTGTATTCAGCATCGGTGCTGGTACATCTATGTTTGAAGACTGGTCTAGTCCGGGGGGGGGGCGTCATGTGACGATTCGCGCCGGCGCCGTTCAGGAAGGGATATCTAGTTTCCTGACGGCGCCCCAGCGCGAATCGTGACGACGTGACCTGGAGGAAGGGGAGAGGAGGGGGAAGGGGGGAAGGCGGGGCCAGTCACGGGCGTGGTCGCTTATAGTTTTTGCGAAGACCTCCATGGAGTTGCCTCCTCTTTCGATCATTCTCGTCCCTCCCTTGGGCGATGAGGTCCCTGAGAGCTTCAAGCCCGCGCTCTTCGTCGGCGGGAGGCAGGTTTCCTTCCCCGAGCCCGTGAGGAGATCGAGGCTGCCTGTGAGAGCCCACGGGCAGTAGAGTGGTTCGCTGCAGCGTACCAGGCTGAGGGGGGACGGCGAAGAGGAGGAGGAGGAGGAGGAGGACAATGACGACGACGATGAACAGGAAACGGGGAACGGGTAGGACGACTAGGCGGAGGAGGAGGAACAGGAGGAGGAGGAACAGGAGGAGGAGAAGGAGGAGGAGGAAGAGGAGGAGGAGGAGGAGGAGGAGGAGGGAGGGAGGGAGGGAGGGAGGGAGGTGAGGAACAGGAGGAGGAGGCGGAGGAGGAGGCCCTGCCGGCCGACGGCGGCGGCTCCCCGGACGGCCCGGGTGGGCTCGGGGAGGTCGGGGCGGGACGCCGCGCTCCCTGGCCGCGTTCTTCGGCTCCCATCCCACGGGCTGGAGTGGACTCACGAGCCCCGACCTAGCTTACTCTCTGTCCGTCCCATTGTTCAGGGTGGTTTGGGCTGGATGGTTTCACTGTTCTGTTGGTAACTTGGGTCGGCCCGCTCGTTCTGCTCCCGCCCATCACCTTGAACCCCCCTCCCTAGATGCTTACGCATCGTCGTAGCATGCCGCATGAAATATGCCTACGCATGTATCGAGGGATGCATCATGTACGTAGCTGGGCGTAGCAGCTGCCTAGGCATCGAACTGGTAATGCCTGGGCATCGAACTGGCGATGCCTTGGCATCGGCAGGACGGTGCGCAGGGTACGCATCGATGGTTCAAGATACCAGAGTCACTGGGCCGTGCCAAGTGATAACCACCTGCCTGCGGCAAACCCCGTCGCCACAGCTCTATCCGTTGCATTGCCCAGGGTGGTCTGGGTTGGATGGTCTCACGGTCCTCATCATGCCCACCTGCCTGCGGCACACCCCGCCGCAGTCGCTGTGCATCGTCGAACCGTGATCAGGATGGTTCTGCTGGGGTCTGCCGAACGGGCTCCGTGTAACCATCTCGGGACGGTGCGGGAAGCGGCGCTCCCAGGCTGCAACGTTGCGCGTCTGTCATGGCGCATGGTTGTTGCGATGCCTTCCTGTTTTGGTTCAAGATCTTTGTAGCTAGACCATGGCTTCGAATCGAGCCGTTGCTTGCTGCTCATTTCTATCCCCCTCTCCTCCCGCCTCCTCCCGCCTCCTCGCCTCTCCTCCGTTGTACTTCCTCTCTTCCCTCATGCCTCTCTCTTCCCGTTTCCTGTGTTATCTTTCTTGTTGTTTATTATTTGTTCTCCGATCTCGCCCCCCTTCTGGGTGCTGCCAAGCGTTCAATAAGCGCAACTGTCCATGCGCCCCCGGGGTTGCAGCGGAGTGCGGCCACTCGCCCTGTTCTGCGCTGCTGGGGGGGGTCAACGGGGCGTGGCTCTACGCTGACCCCAGCGAGACCTTACCCCCCTGGGTACTGCCAAGCGTTGAGTTGTTCCCTCTTTCCAGCGCCACCCGCTGGTTCAGCGGAGTGCTGCTCGACGCAGACCCAAACTAGACCTCGCTACCCGAGGGTTATCGAAGACGCCTACGGCGAATCACCGCCGCCCCCTGCCTTTTTGGAAGCGCCTATGTGGCCGAACGTTGAGGCCAGACCTGCCAAGCTATCGGACCACGTGTTCCCCGAATCGGTTTGGAAAGCCTTCGGGGAACACGTGGGCATCTTGAAGGTCATCTTGGCCGTCTTGGAGGCCTCTTGGGCAAGCTTTGGGCGATCTTTGGGGCTTTTTGGGCCGTCTCGGGCCAGCTTCGAGCCAACTTCGGCCATCTTGGTGGGTTCCTGGCACGTCTGAAGCCGTCGGAAGCCGTTTGGGGGGCCTCTATGGGCCGACTTGGGGCCCGCTTGGAATGCTCCAGGGCCGTCTTGGAGGCCATCTTGGGCGTCTGGGAGGCCATCTTGGGCGTGTTGGAGGCCTCTTGGGCCCTCTTGGGGCCCTCTAGGGGCCATCTTGGAGGCCACTTGGGCCATCATGGGGCTCTCTTGGGGGCCTCTTGGGCGATCTTGGGGGCTTCTTGGGCCGTCTTGAGCCGTCGGAGAGCCGAAAAGGCGCAAATGCCAAAATCCTTCAAAAACCAAGGGAAAATCAATGATTTTGGCCTCTTCGGACTCTCCTGGAGGACCTCTTGGAGGCCTCTTGGGCCGTCTGGGAGGCCTCTGGGGGGCCTCTTGGGCCGTCTTGGGCCGTCTTGGACTCTCTTGGGCCGTTTTGGAGGCCGTCTTGGACCATCTCGGGCGGACTTGGAGGCCATCTTGGGCCATCTTCGCGATTTTGTGAGGATGTCCCGAGCGAAACGGCCGTTTTTGGGCATTGACAGATGGGTTTTGTGAGATTTACGGGTGGCCGGCGGGACGGGCCGAAGCCCACTGGGGAGTTCTTTTAGAAAAAGAACCAAAACCAAAACCTGAATCGTCCAGCACGCCGTGCACCCCTGCAAGCAGGGGGCGGCGGATCTAGTGGTTGGCGGCCCATCCCGCCACCGTGCCAGGGGGACTTCGGCGGGTATCGCTCTGTGGGTCTCTGTGAGCCTGCGGATGGTTTCCAAGGGGGCTTCTGGAAGCGTTCGGGGTAGTCTTGGAACGCATTGGGTGGTGAAAGTCATGGACACATGGCCCGCAACACCCTCTGAAGCTTGTATTTTGTGACAGCTTGTCGCGTTCCGTGATGTTGGATGGTTTCAGGCTCATGCGGCACATTCAAAGGAGGACATAAGCAGACCTGTTTCTGATGTCCAGGCTGTCAGGAATCCTACCATCCCTCTACCACTCATCAACTGTATGAGCCTCGGGGCACTCGACTACATGCTGTAGGCATGGCTGCGGATTTTCAAACGCCCCCAGAAGGTCCAGCGGAGCGAAGCCCAGGGCAGACCCAAACCGGACCTCAGTCCCGTGGGTGCTGTGCAATCACCACTATATAGAACCGCATGTCTGCGCCCCTAGGCGGTCAGGGGAGTGCGGGCTTTCGTAAAAAAACATGTCAACTCGCAGACCCCACCACGCCCCCCCCCCTGGGGACTGCCAGACGTACAACTGTAGCCGCTTCTCCTGCGCTCAGGACGTGGTCCGGCGGAGGACGGTCTCGGGCAGACCCAGTCCATCTAGACCTCGCTTCGCCATCGAACTGCGAAAAAGACACGTGTCTCCACGTCTCTGCCCCGTGGAGGGCCCAGCGGAGTGCGGTTCAGTGAAGACTCATGGTTGATGTTGAGCCTCCTGCGTGTTGTACAGCTTAGATGCGAGGGTAACCCTTCTTCTTCGCCCCTAGGTCCAGTAGAGTGCGGCCCTGCGCATCTTACTCTCCCTGGGGGCTACCGCACGTATTCGTCGCCGCTGCTTATGACCCTGTCGTCCGCCAATCTCAGCGCGCATGCGCAGCCATACAACCCCGTGCGAAAAGCAACTGGTGTTTGGTGAGCCCCCCGACTCCTCATTTCAATGTTGATCGCGCGACCGGCGAAGTTCGAACAACACATCGGCACCGCATTGAACATAGAAGTTGGGGGGATGGGGGGGGGAGGTGTGTAGAAAAACACCAGTTGCTTTTTGCACGGGGGGGTAGGGGCTCATATTGATCAGTTTTCACTTTGCTTCAGGAATGGGCCTTCGCCCAGATGTGTTCCAACTCAGGCAAATCATTCGCAAAAGTAATGGATGCGAGTTTTGGGGAGATCTGACTCGAGGGCAGTGGAAGTGTTAGTGTGGGTGAGGCAGAAGATGCGCGTGCGAAACATAGCCCACCACACACGAAGTTGGATTGGATATTTCTTCACTCATCCTCCTTCGTCAGTTTTCTCATGTTGTTGCTTCTCCTCTCCATCCTCTTCTGATTCTTTCCTCCGCTTTCCCCCTCTGGCCTTCACACATCGACCAGCAAACGTTCGGCGCGAAGGGTTCGCGGTGGGATATCAGCAGTGCAATCTCGCGAGGCATGCTGGCACCTCTCGCGAGTCCAGTCGGCTGGCCCACTGCTCCTGCACAATGCAGTCGCGGGCGCGGCATTGGCGCGTGCATTGGCCAAGCTCTACAGAGGGGCCATGCCGTCCGGACGGCCAGCCTCGCTCGTTCTCGTCGCTTTCCATGCCACTTCTTTGGCAGCTGGCCTCGCGAAGACCACGGGCAGTCCTCCGCTGGCTGCAAGGTCTGGAGGCCTCGCGCGGCACGCTAGAGGACGTACATCTGGCGTGAGTCCGGCGTAAACTCAGTCTCGAATTGCCGCGTCAGGCCTGCTCGTTTCCATTCTACTTCCAGCGGGCAATTCGGAGTGATGACATGCGCAACATGACTTGGCGTGTCTGCGTGCACAAAAACGCACGGACCCAAGCAGTGATGTACCACTACGGTGGAGTGGCGACTGCGTAGAATGCTAGTCTGATGCTTCATTCCTCTATGTGCAAGTACCGGAAGGACGTGTTCCCTTCAGCACCAAGTATCGCATGAGATCGTGCGATTCCGATTCAGGATGGGCCTCGCGGCACGCTTCAGATATCTGCTGGTGGTATCCGGAGTGATGCTTCCTCCGCTCGACGTGCAAGGGCACGACGAGCGCAGAACGCGCAAGCCATCCGTTACCGGGAGCGCAGACGTTTCCAGATTCCTGTCGCTGCCCGCGGCATCTGTCTTGCGCTTAAGCCAGGCATTGCCAGTGCTCTCTCAGCGCGTAGATTTCTGAAATCTCTCGCAACGACCCGCCTTTGTTGCGCATAGGGGGGTCACGGTGCAATGACAATTCTTTGGTGGGCTGGGAGGGGAGGGAACGAGTTGACAGGTGGAACACCTGGCTCAACAAGCTCACAGTTGGCGCTGCGTGCTCGAAAGCGCAGGCAATTGGAGCACCTTTCGCGCAGCTGGGGCGGCACCGCGGGTGTGCGGGTGTGCGAGCCCACCATTTGTGAGGAGTGGGTGTGCCTGTCCATTTGGTGTGATCGCAACCGCTAGGGCACTCGGTATGAGAAGGAGCCTGCAAGCTGATTCTTAGAGCATGCGTGAGTACTTAGACAGGTCCCATCTGTGCCTTCCTGCTTCGTACTTCATCGATGTCCCGTTTCAAGCGTTTAGACAGTTTCAAGCCTAGGCATTCTTTATGTCGCGTCACTGGCCATGACGCCAGCGAGGATACATGTTATGTGGGTGTCTGGAAACCTCCCTGCGTTCGAACGAAAGGTTTTGTGAGCCTTCCTTGCTCCCCTCGTCGTTCGCCTCCGTTCTCTCCTCTCTCTCGTCCGTGCACCTGCGGTCCCTTGGGAGGGAGTGCTGCGCCGTCGAGAACTGATATTTCAGGCGTGACCTCACATGTGGCGTATGGAGGACAAGGCCAACTGTTCAAAGCAAGGGAGCATACAATCATACATTCAGGCCTGGATGCATGACCGGAACACAGTAAGCAAGGAGTCAAACAATCACGCCAGCCAGCCAGGAAGAAAGCAGCCAATCGCGGCAGTCAGCATGCAATGAATCAAGCAAGCCCGCCTCAGACAAACGCGTCGACAACCCGTCGGCATTCCCAGTGGCAACACATTGACAGTCCGTGAGAACATTTATAGACTCTACGTGCCGCCCCCGCTGGGGCCGTTGAATTGATGCAAGGGTCCTAGATGTCCACCACGTGGTTGTGACTTTTAGTGCCAAGTAAAAGAAATGATAACTGTTACATGTGTTGGGCGGCGTTGGGCCGTACAGGATTGTAGTGCACGATGTCGTGAAGCAAGGGTGTCCGAGATGGCTTCCGCAACAGTTGTTGTCGTGAAGCAAGGGTGTCCGAGATGGGAACCGTTTTCCGGTCACCTGAGGCTTGCTGACTTTCTGGGGACCCCATGCGGCCTCCTGAGGTCACCAGCGGGAGGTTCCCACAGCTTGCGTCGGTGACCTTCTGGGGCCCCCAAGCGACCTCCTGAGGTCACCGGCCTGGGGTTCCCACTGCTTGCGTCGGTGACCTTCTGGGGCCCCCTTGCGGCCTCCTGAGGTCACCGGCCGGGGGTTCCCACTGCTTGCGTCGGTGACCTTCTGAGGCCCCCTTGCGGCCTCCTGAGGTCACCGGCCGGGGGTTCCCTCTGCTGTTGCATCGCATTGTGTTGCATAGCATCTTTGCTGCCACAGTGCTCATGCTGTTCCGTGGCCATTTTGGCTCAAGTGGCCAAACTGGTGCTCATTCTTATTGACTCTGTGATTTCTCAATCTCGTGCGCGCACCCCGCGCGCGGCTGCAGCGCGGGCGCCGCGCTGCTTTGGGCCCGCAGGCGGGGCCGGGCCATGGTTGACCCGTCCGCCAGCGAGCTCCGGGGGTTGAACAACCTCCAGGACATCCAGAACTGGGTCGGTCTCCAGCCCACTGTGTGGGCGGCTTTGCAGTCCGAGCTCGGGGAGGTTGCGCAGATCCGCGAGGTCGTCCTCATTCCTCCTCATGCTTGGATCGCCGGCGTGGCGGCCGCCCGGGTGCAGGATGCCACCCCTGAAGGCGGGGACCCCCCACCGCCCCGTCCTCTCCGTGGCGTCGAGTTGGGGCATGCGCGGGGGTTTCGTCGCGTCTGCCGGCTGCGCCTCGGACTACCTGCCGACGAAGAAGGCGAGGGCTCCCCTTCTGGGGGCGGCGGCGGAGTGGCGGCGCCGGGGAACCCTCTTGGGCCCCCGGAGGTCGTCAATGCGAGCTCCATCAGGAAGGTCAAGATGTCGACCATCTTCGACCAGGCGGACGACTCCGAGATCGCCCCCTGGTCGGCCCAACGGACGCGAACGGTCATGGCGGCCTTCAAGGCGGCCAACGACGACGAGGACCCCGAGCCAGACGAGGACGTCACTGGGGACCAGCTGGCGGCCTTGGAGCATCGCATCCAGACGGGCGCGTGCCCCTGCCCCGACTTCGGGGTGTGGCGGCCGTACGGCCAGCGGTTCGCGTGCATCACATCACGCCGGCCGGCGACTACAGGCCTTACGAGGTGCCAGGGCCGCCGACGTTCGCGGAGTGGCTGCCTGCGTTCCGAGTTTTCTCGGTCGGCATGCGTGCGCTCGGGGCCGCCACGACCACGAGGCTCCAGCTGTACCAGAACAAAATCTCCAAGTTCAACAACACCTACGGCGAGGTCTGTTGGTGGTTGGTCGCGCTGGCGGATCAGCGGATGCGATCCGAGCGCATGGAGCGCATCAGGAGGCGCGCCGAGGAAGAGTACGCGGCTGCGCAGGTTTCGGGGGCGCCGCACGCCTTCGACCCGAAGATGCCGTGGGACTACTGCTTCAAGGCCGCCGCTGCCGACTCCGATTTCTGGGATGAGGAGCTGGGGCGCAAGGCGACGCTCTGGGTCACCCACCTCAGGACCAGGCAGCAGCTCACCGACGACGGCACTGGGCATTCCGGCCCTGGCGGAGGCCCCAGCGGAGGCCCAGGCGGAGGCTCGGGAGGAGGTGGAGGCGGCGGCACAGGCGGCAACGGCGGCGGCAAGCGCGGTGCGAAGCGCGCCTGGGGGAGCCAGGACCGCGCAGCCTCGGATTCCAGTCAGTTTGGAGGCAGCGGCCGCGGTCGCAGCGGAGGACGCGGCGGGGGCCGTGGCGCCGCGGGCGGCGGCAAAGGCAACGCGAAGCATCCGGGCGGCAGGTGGCGCGGGGACGAGAGAGGCAAGCCGCTTTGCTGGGCGTGGAACCACAACGCCAATGGGTGCAGCGAGGTGTGCGCCAACGGCAGGGTGCACGCCTGCGAGTGGTGCAGGTCCCCAAAGCACAGATCCATCGAGTGCCGCCAGAAGCCTGACGGGTGGTCGCCGCCCCGTTGACTATCTCCCCAGGCGGGCGAACGCGGCCGTCCAGAGTCGAGCGAACGGCCAGCGGACCCGCTGGGGAAGATGCGGAAGACAGAACTGCTCGACGAGGGCGGCGGCGCGTCGGTGCGTCAGTTGGGCACCCGCCTTCGGCAGATTTTCGGCTGCGCGGGCGATGCCTCGGCGCCCGCCGATGCAGGTGCCGCCCCGGGATCATCCGGCGCCGCGGAGTCGGTGCAACGCCCCCCCACACACCGGAGGCAAGGAGGAGGCACCAGGAGCAGGAGCCGCTTGCAGGAGAGAGCGAGGAGCGGCAGGCGTCGCTCTCCCTCCCTGGAGAGCCGCCGGAGGAGGAAGCACGGCGGAAGAGGGAACGGCTCCCCGCCGAGCCGTGGGCGCCCTGTCCTTGCCGACGCCTCCGCGGGCGAGGCTTCCCGGGTCAGGGATCGGACAAAGACGCAGTGATGCTTCCGCCCTCGGTCCGATCAGGGAGCGCGCGGCAGGGGCGGCAGGCAACGCTCCGCCTCGCCAGAGGGCGCGCCAGGCCAGGGTCACCGAGAGCACAGGCACGACCCGCTGCCGCACCGGGGGCGTTCGGTTCTTGCCGGCGCCTCTGGAGGCAGCCCTCCCCGAGTGGAGAAGCATGCGGACCAGTCGCGGGGCACCCGCCCTCGAGTCCGCTCGCGCTCAGCTGCCGGTCGGGCCGCGCGGATCGACGACCTCCGCGCGAAGCACGACCGCTTGCAGGAGGTCATCCGCCAGCGGAAGGACCGGTTGCGCCTGGCCGGGGTGCGCCAGGAGGCCGAGGCGTCTGGGCGGGGTCGAGCCGCGCAAGACGCAGGCGGACGATCACCCCCAAAGGCACCAGCGGGCACGTCGCTTGCCAACCCAACGGCTGGCTCCCGGGCGGCGCGGCGGGCAGAAGAGAACGAGGCGTGCATCGGCGGGCTCCGGGCGCCGTGGAAGGCCGTCAAGAAGCTCCCGATGCTCGCGGAGACCGGTCGGACGATCGGGGCCTTCCTCGACGAGTTCCTGGACCAGCATCCCGATTTCCTCGACCTCCCCGACGGCGGCGAGCGCGCTCAGGAGCTGGTCCGGGGTCCGCGCCTTCGCACGGCGCGGGAGGACTTGCGTCGCGCCCTCGGCGCGAAGGAGGCCAAGGCGCATAAGCGGACGCCCTGGAAGCGGGACATCGTCGAGGCGCGCGCGGCTGCCTCGCAGGACCCGGAGGTGCACCTTGGAGATTGGCTTCGGGACGGCGCCCCCATCGGCGTGGCCAGACCGGTGCCGAGCTGCGGGATCTTTCCCCAACTCGGCCCGGCCGCGAAGGAGCGCACGCAGGCGCATGAGGTGCTATCGTTGCTGGAGGCGCACGGCAACTACAAGAGCTTCGAGGAGGCCAGGGTGCACGCGGAGCCCGAGATCTAGAGGGTCATCAAGGAGGGTTTCGCGGTCAGGTTCAAGTCCTGGAAGCAGGTCGTCGGCACTTACGGCCCGGTTGCGGCGCCCAGGCTCGCTTGCATCGTCGAGGACCGGAAGGGCGGCGCGAAGAAGGCCAGGATCATCATCGACCTCCGCAGATCGGGTGTCAACAGGCGCGTGCAGGTCGACGAGAGGATTGTGCTTCCGCGCCCGAAGGACATCCTCAGCAATGCCATGCACCTCCTGCGCCACGCCGCGGAGGACGAGGAGGTCGAGGCGATGGCGTTGGATTTCAAGGACGCCTTTCACACGCTGCCAGTCCATGCAGACGAGCTCCCGTATGGCGTGGCGAAGGTCTTCGACGGCGAGTACGTGGCGTTTCGTACGGTGGTCTTCGGCGGCGAGGCGAGCCCGCTGCTCTGGGGCCGCGCGGCGGCGTACGTCATGCGCGGTGCGCAGTCGATCTTCGAGCCGGAGCATCTCCTGGGCGAGTGCGACGTCGACGACCCCCTGGTGCTCGCCGTCGGCACGGCCGAGACGCGGAGGCGGCGGTTCGCCAAGTTCCTCCTCTGGCCCATCCTTCTGGGACTGCGGCTTTCTTGGGCCAAGGTCTCGCGGGGGAGGCGGGTCGAGTGGTGCGGCGTGGAATACCGCCTCGTCTCGCGGTACGTCGTGCAGGCGGTGCTGGCGCAGGCTTTCGCGCAGGAGTTCAAGGCGGGGATCGAGCAAGGGACGAGGCGGCCGCTCATTACGCGGTCGGAGCTGCGGCGCATCGCGGGGAGGGCGTCGTGGGCGACAGGTCTGGTGCCGACGATGCGCTCTTTCATCGACAGCCTGTGGGCCACGCTGGCCGACCTCAATGCCGCGTCCAAGGGGGATTCGGGGATCCCCTGGATCGGCAGGGGCCCCCAGCCAGCTGCGCAGACCTCGCGCATCATTGTCGCGTTGGCGTGGTTGCATGCCTTCCTCGAGGGCGTTGTCACGGGTGGTGATCCTGGTCGGACGGTCGACGTCAGGGAGTGGTTCCGGCAGCCGTCCATCGAGATCGTCTGCGATGCTTCCCGTGGGGCCTGGGGGCGGTCCTATGGGTCGACGGGGCCGCTCGCGCTTACCTTTTCGACGAGGTCGGCCTGGCGGACGTCGAGGAGCTGGGGGTCGAGAAGGGTTCGTGCAAGGCCCAGGCGGTCCTGGAAGCGCTGGCCATTGCGGTCGCGGCGCGGACTTGGCTTCCCAGGTGGGCGCAGCACCGGACTGGCGTTCGAGTCAAGAGCGACTCCATGGCGGCGCTCGGGGCCCTTGGTTAGATGGCCAGTCCAAAGCCCGCCCGCCATCAACAAGATCGCCAGGGAGATCGCCCTCGACGTGGCGCAGAGTCGGTACGGCATCGACGTGCTGGAGCACGTGCCGGGCGAGCTCAATGACGTCGCGGACGCACTGTCGAGGGCCTTCGAGCCGGGCGGGCGCTTCGCGCTCCCCGAGGTCTTGCGGCAGGCTGGGTGCACGCGGACTCCCGTGGCCGCGCGCGACGGGTCGTGGTGGCGCTCCATGGCCCCCACGCGGACGGTGCTGGACAAGGCTGCTGGCGGGCGACGGTGCCGCGACGAGCCACGCTCGGCGCCTTGAGCGGAGGCGCGCCGGAGGTCCCGCCAGGCGAGCTTTCGGAGATGCCTCCCCGCCTGGGCGCGACAAGGGCGCAGGCTCGTTGGAGCGGGGCCTCCCGCGAGTGATCCGCGTCGTCAACGCTCCCGCCGACGCGCTGCGCGAGGGGCCGAGGCGGGTCGACGGCGCGCAGGGGCGCCGCGGCCGCGAGGAGGAGGAGAGGAGCAGCGGCGGGGTACCGGATGCTCTCTTGGGCCCGGGGCCCGCGCCAGCCAGGCGAAGGCGGGATGAGACGGCGGCAGCGGCGCCAGCCAAGCGTGCCTGCTTGGCAGGGGCGCTGCAGGTCATCGGATGTCCGCAGCGCTCCGCTGCCGCCGCCGCAGAGTTCAGGGAAGCCACCCTGGCGGTGACGACGAGGCCCGTGATGGACAGCTACACGAAGGCCCTCGTCTCGCTGGCCAAGGCGGGCGGCTTCGATTTGCTGCCGTTTACGCTTGAGAAGGCTTACAGGATCGGCGGCGCGCTGCGCGCGGCCGGGTACAGGTCCACAGCGTGCTATCTGGAGAGGTATAAGCAGATGCACGTCGAGGAGGACTACGATTGGTCGGTCAGGCTGCACGGTGTGATGAGAGGGTGCCGACGTGCGTCGATCAGGGGCCTCGGGCCGCCGACGCACGCGGCGGTCTTCACCCTGGAGTCGTGGCTGGTGGCGGCCCATGTGAAGCGAGCGCACGCCCAGGGCGGTCCGACCGAGCCCGGTCGCTTCATCACTGTGGGCACTTGGTGGATGCTGCGGGAGATCGAGGTGGCCCTCCTCACAATCGAGCGCGTCCGCTTCCTGGAGGAGACGGACTCAGTTGCCGTGGACCTGGGCGTCACGAAGAAGGATATCCAGGGCTGCGGATGCACCCGGGTGCACTCGTGCATCTGCCAGTGCAGGCCGGAGTGGCAAGCCATCTGCCCAGTGTGCGTCGTCCGAGCCCAGCTCCAGAAGCGACGGGCTGACCAGGCGGAGCCTTGCGACCCATTGTTCGCGGACGCCGCCGGCTACGCGGTCGTCAAGAGGGCCGCGGTCGCGACCATGCGCGCGCTGCTTGTGCCGGAGGGCGCTGGACAGGTGAACGGCCACTCCTTGCGGCGCATGGGCGCGCAGCTGCTCGCCGCGGCAGGCGTCGAGCAGTGGCTGGTCGAGTGGTTCGGCCGATGGGGCTCCGACGCCGTCAAGCGCTACGTCGAGGACGCGCGGTCGCGGGCCCCGCAGGCACGGTCTCTGGCGCTTCGGGCGGCCCGAAGCGATGCCAACGTGGAGCCGGGGCCTGCGACGATGGCCGCGGCCGGGGCGCGCGATGCCCCGCTGGCGCGCGAAGGGGAGGAGGAGCGCCAGGGCGGCGCAGCTGGCCCGATCGGCCTCGAGGAGTTGGTCGGGCGCCTCGTGGAGGAGAGGATGCGGGAGAGGGAGGAGAGGTTACGCCTCGTCTCCTACGCTCTCGGCAAGACACATGTCGCGAGGGCCCGCGCGTGCGAGTCGAGAGTGCCCCGCGAGCGGAGCTCGCTGTGCGGCTGGCATTTCGGAGGTCTCCCGCAGTCGGCCCTCACCTTCCACGAGGGGCGCGCTGACTTGCATGACGCCTGCAGGAAGTGCGTCCGGCTCGCGGCCTCGCGTGGCTGGCCGGTGGACTGCGCTGCAGCCGGCGCCGGCGGCGAGCGTGGCGAAGGCAGCTCGTCCTCGCAGTCATCCGATTCCGGTTCTGGGTCGGACAGGCCGCCGTCGGACGATGCCGAGGCGGGTCGAGGCGAGACCGAGGACGAGGCTCCCGGTGCTCGTGCTTGACGTCTCGCCGTCCTGGCTCTCTTGGGCAGGGCGGGGGACAGTGTGCTTCATTTTGGGGCCGAGTTTTGGAACGTACGCTGGGTCGGGTCGCGGCCAGGGCGGGCGTGCCAGTCGCGAGCGACGCCGGCGCCCCGATCCAGGCGCACTGAGGAAAAGAGGAGCTTCGAGCTTCGACCTCTCTCACCCCACCCTCCGTCCTCTGTCTTCGGCGGGCGGGGGGGGTATCACATGTGCAACAAGTTATCGTGACTTTTAGTGCCAAGTAAAAGAAATGATAACTGTTACATGTGTTGGGCGGCGTTGGGCCGTACAGGATTGTAGTGCACGATGTCGTGAAGCAAGGGTGTCCGAGATGGCTTCCGCAACAGTTGTTGTCGTGAAGCAAGGGTGTCCGAGATGGGAACCGTTTTCCGGTCTCCTGTGGCTTGCTGACTTTCTGGGGACCCCATGCGGCCTCCTGAGGTCACCAGCGGGAGGTTCCCACAGCTTGCGTCGGTGACCTTCTGGGGCCCCCAAGCGACCTCCTGAGGTCACCGGCCTGGGGTTCCCACTGCTTGCGTCGGTGACCTTCTGGGGCCCCTTTGCGGCCTCCTGAGGTCACCGGCCGGGGGTTCCCACTGCTTGCGTCGGTGACCTTCTGGGGCCCCCTTGCGGCCTCCTGAGGTCACCGGCCGGGGGTTCCCTCTGCTGTTGCATCGCATTGTGTTGCATAGCATCTTTGCTGCCACAGTGCTCATGCTGTTCCGTGGCCTTTGGCTCAGTGGCCAAACTGGTGCTCATTCTTATTGACCCCACCCTCCCAGGCCCTTCGAATGCGTGGACGACCCCCACCTCTCCAGGTGTGGCCTTTTGGCCCACGTGGAGGCGCTCAGGCGTGCAGCACGGCGCGGTAACGCCGAGAGGGGTGAGTTGTGAGATGTTGTGAGGGGTGCGTTCACTTCCGAGGGGGCGGGCGTGCGGGCGTGCCAGTCGCGAGCGACGCCGGCGCCCCGATCCAGGCGCACTGAGGAAAAGAGGAGCTTCGAGCTTCGACCTCTCTCACCCCACCCTCCGTCCTCTGTCTTCGGCGGGCGGGGGGGGTATCACATGTGCAACAAGTTATCCTAACGCGGAAGCATGAGGAGGCGTTGGCGGATGGCAGGGTGAGCAGCCCAATGCGCAAGCATGTGATCAATCGTTCAAGTAATCCAGCATCCAGGCGCACGCATCAGCATGCACGCAGCCAAACGCGCAATGCAGCTATCAGACACGCCATCGCACACGCATGCAATATGCTTACTTTGCACACGCAGGCACCAGCAATATTGCACGCAGGCACATAGGCAAGCAAGCCTGCGCGCAGCCAGTAGGGGAACTCCACAGGTAGCCCCAGGCCAACCAATTTGCAAGCACATATGCACACCCAGCGGCAAACCAGTGGGCAAACGCACAGGCAACCCACAGGCAGACCCACGGGCACGTCTATCAGGAGTCCGCTCCACTGGGCCACGGCATCTTTCCAAATGTGTCCAGCCAACATACATTTTAGACGCTTCGCGTATCCCCACCAGCCACCCTGGTACTCTTGCAGTTCCGTGGGTGCCTACGCCCCTGCATTCAATTCATTCGTGGCTTGCAGACCCTGGCAGCCGACCACCCTGGCAGCAAGCATATCCTTGCAGCGCGTTGCACGCGTGCACCCTGGCAATGCAGCTTCCCAGCAGTTGCCGTCAGCCCCCCTCCACTCGCCGGCCTGCCCGCCGAGGTGCTGCGTGAGGCTCCGGCCAACCGCTTTAGGTGAATTCGTTTTTGCGCGGCCCGCTCTGACTGGACTCGCCGCTGGCGCTCTCGCCTGCGGCCGCTGACTAAAAAATATCCCAACCAGCCCATCCAGAAACGACGCCCAGGCAAGTAGAGGGCCGTCCTGAGGGACTCTTGGGCGCCCTGGGTGCCTCGGGGGGGCCTCTTTGGGCCGCGTGGCCTCCTGGGGGCCTCTTGGGGGCCTCTTGGGGCCATCTTGGGGCCATCTTGGGACCTCTTGGGGCCTCCTGGGCGCTTCTTGGGGCCATCTTGGAGGAGATCGATCAAACAAGAGGAGAACTTTAATGAGGGTCCCCCCCATCAGGAGGCCAACATGGGGCCCAAACCTTAGTACAATCAATGATTTTGGCTTCCTCGCCGAGGCCGTTTTGGACGCCCTGGCACCTCGCGACACCTCCCGTCCAGGTCTCGGGGAGGGGGGAGGGGGAGGGATAAACCTTTCCCCGAAGGGGACGAAGGAGGGGTGTAAGAGGAAACTCCCGCAACCACCGACGCCCAGGGGGCTGGTGGGATTCGATTGTGCGCCCGTGTTGGTTGGTCGTGTTCCCAACCCCCAAGATGGCCCAAGATGGCCCAAGATGTTCTCAAGAAGGCCTGAAGACGGCCCAAGAGTGGCCAGGATGATTTCGAGACGGCCCAATAGGGCCCCCAAGACCCCCCGCACAGCTCCACGATGAACCCCAACTGGTTTCAAGATGCCACAACCACTGATTTGGTGCTGAGGCTTCGAAGGTTGTGGAAACACTTGCGCTTTCGCGTCTGAGGGTTTCCAGGACGGCCCAAGAAGCCCCCGAGATCGCACCGGGACGGCCCAAGATGCGCTGAGGAGAGGCCCCCACGACGACCCATCAAACCCCTAAGAGTCTACGGCGATACCCCAAGACGGCCCAAGAAACCCCTAAGACAGCCAAACAAGTCTCGAAAAGGACCCCAAGATGCCCGAATACGCGTCCAGAAGGCCCCGAATTCGCCCCAAAGTTCCCCCAGACGGCCCACATCCTGTCAAGACGCCCCAGGAGGGCTCCAAGAGAACTCGCAAGAGGACTTTAATCAGTCCAAGTCATTGTTTTCCGCGCAGCGCGCGGCGGCAATTTTCGATTCACGCAGCTGCGTGAATGCCAGTTTACCTTGTTCTCCCCCCCAATATACCAGCCCTCCTTTGATCGGGGCGTTGGCATTGGGTACAATGCGTTGAGTAGACCCTCTCCACAAACAGGCCCCCCCCGGCGAGCCTTTCCAGCACAGGGGTATCCAACTCATTTCGCAATGGTCCAAAAGTGTAGAACGACTTTTGTAGAACGGCTTCTGGGTTCTGCGTATATGCCCGCGAGGGTGCCGCCCCTCAAGGAGCGACTGGTGCGGCTCGGCGGCCTCCGCGCCGTGGATGCCTGCGTCTCCGCCTGAGCGCGCGCCATCTCGCCTCCGCCTCGGCCGCCGCGCGGCAGTGCACCGCGCGCCCGTGCTGAGACGGGCCGGCGGCCAGCGATAACGCGGGCGCGGGGGAGGGGGGGGACTGGGAGGGAGAGAATCGCGGAAACGTGTACGGTCAGGAATTGGCGTATCGCTTTGCCAGCTCTGGCCCACCAAGCCTCGGCGCGACACGCTCACCACGTCCCGGTCCCGGAACGTCAACGTCAGCGTCCCGAGCTTTTCCGAGCTTCCCGGCCCGCGGAGCGGAGCGACACTCTCCGTGTTTGCAGGGCATAGCGTGTCGCCAGCTGCCGCCGCCGCGACACGCAAAGCGAACGCTTATGGAGGCCGGGGGATTGTGGAGTGCCGTTGTGTTCCGGAGGAGTGCAAGAGTTGTCTTAGTCTTCTCCCCCTCTTCTTCATCATCATTAATATTATTATGAATATTATCATTATTATTAGTATCATTATTATTAATCTTATTAGTATTATTATTACTATTATTTTTATATATGTGTATATATACATATATACATACATATATATATATATGTGTGTATGTATATCTGTTTCTCTCTCTCTCTCTCTCTCTCTCTTTCTCACTAGTTTATGCTTTTCTTTGTTTATCTCTCTCTGTCTCACTATATCTATCCCCCTTTTCTTTTGTTTCCTCTCTTCCTCTGTCTCCCATCTCCCTCTTAAGCTATACCATCAGCTTGCCAGCATCTTCACTAGTCAGCTCAATCTGCCATTCGTCGGCCATCTTTGCCTGTTTAGTCCTGGTAACTTCTGGCACGCCCTTGTAATGCTGTCCGCGCCTTGCCAAGATTTGGTAAGCCCTGGGAAAGTTCTGCTAAGCTTTACTAAGCCATGCCCAGCCTTGCTAAGCTCTGCCAAGATCTACTTGGCCCTGCTACGCAGTGGTGAGCTTTTGTTTGCCCTGCTAAACCTACTGAGCGATGCTACGCTTTACGCTATGCTCGTCCCTGTAAAGCTCTGAGAACTTGTTTTGAGCCCTGGTAAATCCTGATAAGCCCCTAGGCACTAATAAATGTTGCCACGCTCTGTTCAGCCCCGGCAAGCTCTGCGACGCCCTGCTAAGCCTTGGTAATCCTTGCTAAGCCCTGGTAATGGCTGTTAGACCCTTGCTAAGCCTTGCTACGCCTTGCTCGTACTTGACAGGCTTTGCTGAGCCCTGCCAAGCTTCAGAAAAGCGTTCTAAGTTCAGCTGAGTTTTGCTGAGCCCTGCTTAGACTTGGTATGCCGTGCTAAGCCCCAAGACCTACTGAGCCCTGCTAAACAATGGTAAGCCCTGGCAAGCTTTGCGAAGCCCTGCAAAGCGCTGGTAAACCCTGCTAAGGTTTGTTATCATTTGGTAAGTTTTGCAAAGCCCTGCTACGATTGGTCAGTTTTTCAATGCCCTACTGAGCCTTGCTCAGCCCTGCTAAGCCTTGCTGGGCCTTGTTCGGCCTTTGCACGCATTGCAAAGCCCTGCTGGACCTAGCGAAGTCTTCACCCCTGCTGAGCGTTGCTGAACCTTGCCAAGCAATGCTGAGACTTGCAAATCCATCCAAAGTCCTTGTATACCTTGCTTGCTATGCCCTGCTGAACCTGCTAAGCACAGCTAAGTCCTGACAACGTGTGCTAAATTTGGTGAACGTCGACCCTGCTAGGCCATGTTCAGCTCTGCTAAGATTTATTGCTCCCTGGCAATATATGCCGAACGCTGGTAAGCCTTCCGGGCCCCCAGCGCACCCCCACGGACCATTTCCGGCGCTGCATCGGGCGCACCGGGCGCGCCTGGCGTGTCCCAACCCAGCGCACTCGCTCGAGACATCCTTTCAAAATCGCCACACGGGCCCCCAGGGCACCCCCAGGGACAATTTTTGGCGCTGCACGTGGCGCACCGGGCGCGCCGGGCGTGTCCCAACCCGGCGCCCTTGCTCGAGACATCCTTGCAAAATCGCCACACGGGTCCCCCGCGCAGGGACAAGTTCTGGCGCTGCACTGGGCGCACCGGGCGCGCCAGGCGTGTCCCAACCCGGCCCCTTCGCTCGAGACATCCTTGCAAAATCGCCACACGGGCCCCCAGCGCACCCCCAGGGGCCTCCAGGTGATCCCCGCCCGCCCGATCCTCACCCTCCTTGATCTTCATTCTCCTCATCCTCACTCTCCCGATCCTCACCCGCCGCACCAACGCCACCCGCTCATTCTCACCATCGTCATCGAGCACAGGCGCACGCGCCTTTTCTCTATATAAAGAAATTCCCGATCAACCGCAGAGCGGCCGGCTAGTAATCGCTCTCTCTCTTCTTCGTTCTTCTCCTACCCACGTTCTCCCTCCGACGCCCCGTCCTCCCCCTCGGACCCTCCTCCCAGATGAGCCTTCGAATCGTGGAGGAAGCTGCGACAGAGTCGGTTGGGCGACGGAGGTGGAGGTGAGGAAGAGAGGGGAGCAGACGCATGGAGTATGGAGGCGGAAGGAGAGCAGGGGAACGGGGGACTGGCGGAAGAGCGAGGAGGGAGGAGGACGATGAGGAAGGGGATGGCGAATGGGCGGAGGAGGGAAGGTGGGCGGAAAGAAGAGGCGGAGGGAGTTAGACGAAGGTCCGCATGGGGCAGACTGGCCCCAATACCCCACAGCCCAAGAGAGTACAGTGCGATCCGAGGAGCGGGCGGCAACCGGGAGGCATATCGGCGTGTGCGGTGAGCCCCGCCTATGCCTCCGAGCCGCCGCGGAGGGGCCTGAGATGTCAGGACCTCCCGCCCTGCTCGCGACCTGGTGACCCTCGCCTGGTCAGCGTGATGGGGTGCGTTCCCACCCGCAGCTGGACTTCGCCTCTAATGCCACCTGCCAGCTCCCTCCTCAAAGCCACGGCGCTGGAGCAAGGACCACGCTGGGCTCCGGAGGGCTCCGGTCCTCGGGTCGCTCCCTATAGACTCCGGTCGGGGCGCCTCTCTCCGTGGCCGAGGCTCGCCGTGGCCAGAGCAGCCCCTTCGTTCCTTGTCTGAAGTTCCCTATGGCAGCACGTTGGCCGAAGACTCCTTCGCTCCTCGGTGCCCGCAGCGTGGTGCTTGCAGCGCCGCCGCGTCGGGGGGGCACGGCACCGCGCGCCGCCGCATCGCGAACGGCCGCGCTGCAGCAGCCGCCAGCCATGGGCCGCTGCTGGGCTGGCCGCCTTCCCATGGCCAGCCTGGTCTTGCTGGCGAGCTCCGCGCCGTGGGCGATGGGCCAGGATGAGAAGAAGCCGCCGAAGGATTCCGACCTCGCGGAGTTCAAGAGGGACTTCGAGGACTTTGACGTCAACAAGGACAGTCAGATCGATGCGCAGGAGGTGCGGCAGCAGTTCAAAGGGGACCTGGACCCAAAGGAGCGCCCGCGCGGGTTGGGACGGAGGAAGGGGAGGGGGAGGAGGGGCAAGGGGAGAAGGGGGAGGGGGAAGGAGTAGGGATGGAATGGGGAGGAGCTTTGAAGGGCGATGTGGAAAAATAATGGGTATAAAGGGAGGAAAGGTCATAGGCGGGAGGGGACCGTGGGTTGGGACCCCGGCGTTGGGAGTCTGCCGCCATGGGCGTTGAAAATGATTTCCGCTCGTGGGCAGCTTGCGGGGTGCCCCATCCCGAAACAGGCTCCACATCCCTCAGCGCCTACTGAGGAGAAGCACGGCATGAACGGTATGTTCTCCTGCTGTTTCGATTGCGAGCTGCGGCCGTCATTGCCCGCTGGTCGGACGATGAATCCCCACGCCTGCAGGCAGAGCAGTCGTTCCCCTAGCTGCGCTGCCCCGCACGCCGACCAACGGTTTTTGAGAAGCGAGATGGCAATGGGAAGTTCATGGTGATTGAACTGAATGCTGTCTGACTGTCGGACAGCTTGGGCAAAAAGGGGGGCCAGGATTGGCGACTTGCCCAATAATGTAGCACCCCCTTCGCATTCTGGATAGTGCAAGAAGTCGGACTGGTGCCGACCCAAGGAGCGACCCAGCCTGTGAATCGATATTCACTGATGACCGACCATGATCCGTTCTCTCACGTCCTAACACAACGCTGTTGACGGGTCCCTTTGAGGCGGCATGCTCTCCCCACGATTCCTCAGTTCGGGGCTTCGAAACCTGTGGTTGGACGACCAGAGCAGGGCGGGCAAGGTCAGCAGACTTAATCCTTCTGCCTCGCAGCCACGCCCGGCTGCCAGTGCTCGGCTTCCAATCCTGGCAGCCCTTGGAGAGAGACATGCGTGACAAAATGAATGCGAGCCATGGCGTAAACTTGAGTCGTAGCGGGCATTGCCGAAAATGTTCTCCGGCTTCTACCCACGCGGCAGCAATCAATAATCTAACCAGGAAGACGGGCGTAACACATCTGGCTCCTCAGCCTCCAGCATCAAGTCGTGGTGGCCATGCGCGCGAGGACGCTTCCAGTCAGCATGCTCTCCCTGCGGCATGGACCAGATCTTCCCGACGTGGCAAGCCCAGGGAGAGCCTGGCGGAGGCACCATGCGTCCGACATCGTCGGTGCATCACGCCGCGCGGCCCCCCCAGGCAATGCGCCGGCCGCCTGCCCGGCCTTTCACAAAGGCGGCCCTGTACGACACAGCGACTGTGGATTGCCCACTCTCCGGCGATGTTTTTCTCCCCCAGCCCCCCGACCTCTCCGCTCAGGAGAGGGGGGGAACACTCTGGGATACACCCCAGGGGGAAGTTCTTCGGACGCACCCCATACCGAGGATGGACGCCCCCCCCCCCTCGTATACCACAGGGTTGGGCCACAAATCACGAGTCCATGCGAAAACCCCGCGAAGCCTAGGATAGGGGTCGACATATCCCCTGTCACCCAAGACAGTCAAAGCGCGCAGGAACGATGAGCGATGTTGCAGGGTTGCCCTTGCCACCTTCCCCTTCGGCCCCTCCTTGGCCACTTTCACTCCCCCTCCTCGCTCGCAAAACGTCAGCATGACCTTCAAAGGCCCTTTGCGTCCTTTCCGAGCACCCTTATGATACGTTTCGATTGTATTGGCTTGTGCCCTGAGTTGCAGCCTTCTCTGAACGGGATTCCACACTGCTGGTAAAATTGTGTGGGCCCTCCGGAGGACTCCACAGCGGTGGGCGGCTTGGCGGCCGTAATCTTGGCTCTCGGTGGAGAGGAGGAAGAGGACGGTGGTGACCAAGGAGAAGAAAACACCATCCACTCCCGGTATTTGGTACTGCGTGCGGCCTGCTACCCGTTGTCCTGGCCTTCAGAGGAGTGGGAGAGGAGGAAGACGGTCGGTGATGAAAGTGATGGCAAGCTCAGGACCGCCTCTTTGCTCATACTCGCGGCATCGGTTGCCAGCAGTGTGGGCATCGCTTTGGCACTGACGCATGCGGTACAGGACCATTGATCACTTGGTTCGCACAGCTCCTTGAGACACGGCGCTGCATCTGACACGGCATTGCATCAGACAGTTTCTAGCACTCGACAGTGCCGCCCACCTCCATGGCCATGACCAGTCGGACCCGGCTCCCGAGCCTCGCGAAGCCCTCCGTGGAAAGCCAGTGAAAGGCACAACTCTCCGCGTGTATGCTTGGGCCGCTTTGGGGCAGAGTGTGCCCCACCCTCTTTCGCCGAATTACTTGCTCTTGATGAGCTGGCACATCCACGGCGGGATTACGCGGTGGACATGGCGCCCACAAGGCCTGTCGAATGCAGGCGAGCCTCGTGAGTGCGTCGGGTCACCGCGGACAGCTGGACGAGCCCGTGGTGGTACTGTTCGATTGTGGTGCACCACCACTCCTCAGTGTGTTGGACCCCGCCGGAGTGCTGGACCTTTGCCGTGGGGGCGCACCCTTGTCGGGGCACAACGCCGAACACGTCGGAGCTGATGAGGGCATCACCGAAGCATCTCTCGGCGAGCACTCGCCCTGGCTCGCGGTCTCCACCTTCTCTCGCCCCAGCGCGTTGCACGTGACCGACAGAGCTGGCGGGCGAGGGCAGGAGGAAGAGCGGGGGGGGAGAGGCGAGCGGACGGAGTGGGAGAGGGACGGGGGACGGGGAAAGGGGAGGGGGGGGGGGGGAAACAGAGTTGGCAAAGGAGAGGGCGCGGGTCAGAGGCAGCAAAGATTGTTGACTGTGCCAAGGGTTCAGCACCAACATTTTCGGCGCAGAGCTAGCCGTGCAAAGGGCATCACTGTATGGGCGCGCCCTTTGCGTTAACTGTGCGGCGGTGTCTCTCTTTCCCGCCGCGGCCATCTTGGACGTCCCCGCCGCCCGCCGCCGTCCTGAGACCTGGGGCTCGGTCGTCGCCTGGTTCTCGGTCTAGTAGCTGGTCGTGGAGGGTCCGCAGGACGCGTTCGCAGACGCTGCCCGTACCCTGCCCACGTGTCCATACATCGGAAACGTCGGATTGTTCTTTGATCCGCTTGGGTCGAGGCCGCCCACCTTGCTGTTCTGGGAGCCGCGTCTACATTTTAGTCCGCGTCTCCCCCGTGCATCACCGTGTTCTCACGCGGCCTTCCCATGCTGACTTCTGGTTGTGGCAGTCTGCGTCGTCGTTCCCCTTCATGTGCCCCCCAGTCTCCTCGATGTCCGCAGGAGCTGCACCAGTTCTTCATCGACGTGGACAAGGACAGCAGCGGCACCGTGACCCTGAGCGAGTACGTGGACTACGCCGTGACGCTCCAGGGCACACAGTAGGACGGGAGGCGGCAGGCGAGCCTTGGCTATCCGGTCGCTCCGCAGGATCGTCCGGATCGGACACGGGCGTCCTCGCCGAGCCTCGGGAGTCCGCCAAGCTTCCCCAAAATGCCTCGCCGCTCGCGCGCACATAGCTCCGTGCTTTGCCCTCCTGCACCTCCTTCTCCTCCTGCTCCCTCACTTCTCCCTGCCCCCTCAACTCTCATCCCTGTCCACTGTTCACGCCCTTCTCGCCTTGCGCCTTCCCCCCCTCCTTTCCCTCCTTTCCCCCCCCCCCCCCCCGCTACTATTCTCCTCTCTTCGTCCTCTTCTACCAGTCACGATCCAGTAGCATGTGGCACGTGTGCAGTGCCACTCACACGAGGCAGCTCGCAGTGGTCGCCCGTTGTGTCAACATGTTCACGGACACCTCGTATGTAGGCAATCACTCGAAGGATTGCCTGCCCCTCCAGTTGCCATGGCGTCTTAAGTTTGACGGTGCCTGTTTGTCCGCCCCGCGTCAAGAGCAGCATGCACGCTTGCAGTTGTCACTTTCCGAACCCTCGCCCATCACATCGTGGGCCCAGCCCCGCCACCTGCTATCACGAGTTCTTTCTGGCGTCAGGTGTTGCCAATGTTGCGTCCAGGGCTGCGACGATATTGCGCGCTCTCGTCCTTCCCCTCGCAGGGTCCGTTTCGATCCGATCGATCCGATCCGATCTCGATTCCGACTGGCAGGATCCGATTCGATTCCGACATTCCGTCGGTCCAACACGGTCGATGGTTGCATGGCGTTCGGTGTACATCTTGGCCTGGCCGATCCGATCCGACTGCGACTCTCGGGCGCTGCAGCCCCATCCAACGCGGATTCCGACTCGATGATGGCTGATCTTGCTTCCTCCTTCTCTTCCTCCCATCCTCCTCCGCGTCCTTCCCTCGTCCTTTTTTGTTCTCGCCCTGCCGCGCTGGAGGAGGAGGAGGAGGATGAGGAGGAGGGGGAGAAGGAGGAGGAGGAGGAGGAGGAGGAAGAGGAGGAGCAGGAGAGAGGGAGGGGAAGTTGGAGCAGGAGCTTCTTTCTCTTCCTCCTCCTCCTCCTCCTCCTCCTCCACTTCAGTCAGCGTCGGCCTGCCAGCCCCGCGGCGGGCGCGGCCGCGCCCCGCGCTGGCGCAGGTGATGGCCTGGGGTGGCGATGGCCTGGGAAGATGACGGCTGGGCAGCGCAGGGCGCCTGGGGGACGCCCGACGACTGGAGACCTCCGGCGTTCGGAAGAAGGGGGGAGGACACGTTGTGTCGCGGCCCGGTCGCGCCCATACCATGGCGATCGCGCCGCACCCCCGCCCCGACGTGCACCACCCAGCTCCCCGGATAGCGACCGCTATCCGGAAACAATCCGGGGGACACTGGTCAGAGGAGGGGAACATTACGAGGGGGACATTGGTCAGAGGAGGGGGGCATTTGTCAGGGGGACTGCCGGGGGAGGAGGGGTGGACACTGGTCAGAGGAGGGGGAGGTACCGATTCCGCTGCCTTGGCCTCGTGCTCGCCTCTGCGGGCTTGCTGGAAGTCCCTCGTCGTCACGGCCAGGCTCGCCTCGAGATCCTGGCCCGCACGCGCCCCGGGAGGGGCCTTGGGATCAGCGGCATCGATGCTTGGCTGTCCCCCATGAGCGCTGCAGATCCAGGAGGGTGGAGGGCAAGGCTGCGTCTTCCCTCGGCAGGGCCGGGGAGCTCCCGTTGCCCTCGTCTGGCGCGGAATCGCGTGTGGCAGCCTGCAGAGGTGTAGCGTTTGACGCGTGCTGATCCTGCGCTGATGGAGAACGAAGGCTAGAATGAGGAGGAGGAGAAGGAGGAGGAGAAGGAGGAGGAGGGGGAGGAACGAGTGGAGGAGTAGGATGAGGATGTGGAGAAGACGGACACGTACAGGAGGATCTGGTCTTGCCGCCCAATGAGAAGAAGCATGGACAAGGGAAGGGCAGCCGTAGCCGTCCGACGGCGCCGAGGCAGGGTGGGTTGCTGCGAACTTGGGCACGCCGACGGGACTCTGTGTCGCCAGCGGGTCCCCCTGTTCCTTCTTTCTACTGTCTCCCCATTCCCTCATCTTTCTTCTGCTGTTCCTTCTCATCACTCCTCCAGCCACCAGCTTCTCTTGAGTTTCGTCCTCCCCCTCCTCTAGTAAGTGCTGATCCTCCTCCTCCTCCTCCTCCTCCTCCTCCTCCTCCTCCTACTCATCCTCATCCTCATCCTTCTCCTCCTCCTCCTCCTCCTCCTCCTCCTCCTCCTCCTCCTCCTGTCTTTCTCATGCTTCTTCCGCCCATCATCTCCCCCTCTCCCCGGTCCCTGGTCCCTCCTCCCCGGTCCCTCCACACTCCCCGCGTCCGCCTCTTTCCCGCTCCCTGTTGTTCCTCTCTCTGCTCTCCCCCCATCCTCGTCCCCACCCCCTCGTCCCTCGTCCATCCTCCTTTCCTCCCTCCGTGCTCGGCTCCCTCTTGCCTGCCCCCTGGTCCGTCGTCGAGCAGGGGACGAGGAGGCCCTGGCAGGGCTGCTTGCTTTGCGCCGAGCACCGTCCGAGCCCCACACAACAGACAGGGGATGGAGGAGGAGGACGAGGACGAGGACGAGGACGAGGACGAGGACGAGGAGACGGATGAGGCGGGCGAAGAGGAAGGAGCATGTAAGAGGACGCGCTGCGGCTGATGGGCAGCCGAAGGAGGAGGAGGAGGAGGAGGCAGCAATGCCTCGTAAGCGCTGGCGTGGGTCACTACGGGACGCTGGGACAGCACAGTGGGACAGCAGCGGGGACAGTGGGACAGTAGTGGGTACAGTGGGGACAGTTGGACAGTGGTGGGGACCGTGTGGAAAGTGGGGAGAGTCGGACCGTGGTGGGACAATGGTGGGGAGAGTGGGGGCATTGACACACTGGTGGGGGCACTGGTGGGGACAGTGGGGACAATGGTGGGAATATTGGGGACAGTGGGACAGTGTGGGGACGGTGGTGGTGGGGACAGTGGTGTGGGGGCAGTGGGAATGTGGTGGAAACAATGGGACAGTGGAGGGTACAGTGGTGGTGGGGACAGTGGTGAGGGCGGTGGCGAGGACGGCGGTGGGACAATGGGACAGAGGTACAGTGGGGACAGTGGTGGGGACAGTGGGACAGTGATGGCAACAGTGGGACAGCTCAGTGGGACAGCGGAGGAGACAGTGGGGACAGTGGGGACAGTGGGGACAGTCGGGCAGTGGTTGGGGCCGTGGAGAACGTGGGGAGAGTGGAACCGTGGTGGAAACAGTGGTGGGGATAGTGGGGACAGTGCGACAGTGGTGGGGGCACTGGTGGGGACAGTAGGGGTGGTGGTGGAACCAGTGGGGACAGTGGTGGTGAGGACAGTGGTGCTGGGGACAGCAGTGGGGGATGTGGGGTGGACTGGAGTCGTTTGCTGGCGGTGAGCGCGTGGGGGGGGGGAGGGGTTCGAACTGGTAGTGACTCCCCCCCGGTTTTCGAGGGGGGGGGGGGGGGGAGGGGTTTCGAACCAGTAGTGGACCCCCCCGCCCGGTTTTCGAGAGGGGGGGGGGGGGGTGCGAACCGGTAGTGACCCCCCTCGGTTTTCTGGAGGGGGGGGGGGGGTCGAAGCGGTAGTGACCTTCCTCTGGTTGGGGGGGGGAGGGGTTCGAACCGGTAGTGACCCCCCCGGATTTCCGGGGGAGGGGGGGGGTTCGAACGGGTAGTGACCCCCCCCGGTTTCCCGGAGGGGGGGGGGGTGGGTGGGGGTTAGGGGAGGGGGGGAGTTTTGCCGGGGGAAGGTGGGGGGGGAATTTTCGGAGGGGGTGGGGGGGGGGGCGGCCCCGGGTTCCGGAGGAAGGGGGGAATTTTCCACAGTAAAGCGGTGGTGGATCACGCTCTCCCATTGAGAGATAGGGCTCGTCTCGCACTCTCTGCATACCGCGTGTGTCAGACTCAGCTCCCTGGGTGTCCCGTCTCGTGCCTCCGACGGGTGGCGACTGCATGGCCGCCGAGCCACAAACGTGTGCAGGTGCTCCCTGGGTATCCCGCCCCGCGTTCTCGGGTTGGGATCGCTCGAAGCAGAACTCTGGACGTTGCTGGAAAAGCAGCCGTGCGAAGCAGCACGACTGGAGCTCTGGATCCCATCTCTCTGCTGCATCTTTCTGCCTGGATCGATCCGTGTCGGCCCCTGGGCCCGAGGCAGGGCGAGCACGCCCAGCGCGAAAAAAAAAAGTGCAACGCCCAGATCGGAGGTGCCGGGGACCGCTCGAAGCAAGATCATGTGCATGCTTCTGCTGTGCTTCTGCCTCCCGCTCCCCCGCGAGCGCGCCCAGGACCCGCTGGGACCACGCCGGTGCCGCCGCCGCCGGGCGCGACCCCTGGGGCGGCCAGTACCACGGCGCCCAGTGGCGCCCGGCTGCAGCGGAAACGGCGGACCATGTACGGCAGGTTCGCGTCGTGCCGACGCGGCGGCGACGGGCGACCCCTCCGAGGGCGTTCAATCCTGAGAGCATGGCGCCGCAGTTTTTTCACCAGGCGATTCTGCAATGCTGCGGGCCCCGGAACCCCCAGCTCGAAGAATGATGCAGAAGCATGGGGTCCAGTGCTCCGGGCGTGATGTCTTGTGATGTTGCAGAATGTGTTCGCACTGTCGGATCTCGAGGCCGTACGGTTGAAGGCCGCTGGTTGCCCAGAATCGGCACTTGTTGAAGTATCTGGCGATCGACGAGCCGCCGATCGGTCAAGATTGAACGATCCACGCCGTGTCAGAAAACATCGTCGGGTCGTCACGATACGAACCTGGTCGTATACCCACACTCACTGTTAGGGTTCCATGCTGGCAATCATGTATATTCATCGACGACGATCTAGCCATACTTACAGGTTCTGCACGCGAATTGTTCGCGAGCTAGTTTCAGCTTCCGCTCCTCCTGTTTCGCACTTCTTCGCCGGCACGCTTCACGAGGCGAGGCATCAGGCTATACTCGTAGTGTCGCGATTGACGAACATATCCGGCCTCCGACGTCGTATTCGTTTCGGCGTCCGGTGGCCTTTTGGGGGGCCCGTGGCTGGCAAAGACGGCGACCAAACGGCACGGGCTCGAGAGACCCGCGGGCCCACAGCTTGAAGTGCACCATGACGACGGAGGCACAGAACTGCCGCATTCCCGCCTCAGTCGTTCGAGCTTCTTCCGTTTTACGAGAAGAGGAGGAGGAAGAGGAGGAGCAGGAGGAGGAGCAGGAGGAGCAGGAGGAGGAGGAGGAGGAGGAGGAGGTGGTGGAGGGGCAGGACGTGGAGGAGGAGGCGGAGGAGTAGGACGCTGAGGACGAGGAGAGGGAGGAGGAGGAGGAGGAGGAGGAGGAGAAGGAGGAGGAGGAGGAGGAGGAGGAGGACGAGGAGGAGGAGGAGGAGGATGAGGAGGAGGAGGAGGCCCCCCCGCCTCTGTGGCATCGCGCCCGTGGCGCCCTCTTCCCCTCGTGCCCCGCTGCGCACCAGCGCTGCACCGCTGCTGCCCGACCGCCGTCTGGTCCTCCTGCGGCCGCGGCTGAAGCATGTGCAGGCGAGGTCGGCAAACGCAGGCAAATCCAGGCCCCCATTTTCTGAAGCCAAGGTCCCCCCATCCCCCCCCACACCCCATCTCTCGGGCCGGGCGAAAGGGGGGGATTGGGAAAGGGGGGGTACGAAATTTGCTGCATGCAGCTGGCTTTGGCCTCACCGAGGGGCCCATTCCTCGATACATAGCCGCCTCCGGCGCCGGGAGGCGCCGGGAAAATCAGCTACGTGAGCTGATTCTCAAACCCCCCCTTTGCTATCCCCCCCTTTCGCCCGACCCGAATCTCCTTCCACCTCCCGCTCCCCGTTCTGCTCCTTCAGCCGCACCCCTGTTGCCCATCATCGCCCTCCCACGCCTCATCCTGCTCGCTCTGCCGATCGATGCTGGCTCAAGACAGGCGATGCCTTTAGAATGTTTGCTCCGCCGCAGACGCAGACTGGCGGCCGTGGCCTGCCTGCTCTGCCAGGGGTGTTGATTTGTTTTGGGTAAGCGGCGTGGCCTGTCTGGGCAAGCTCTGCGCATGTCAGGAGTGGCGTCTGGGTGTCTGGGTCGGCATGAGCAGCAGGAGCGCAACACTTCATTGCCAGTGCCAATTTCCCAGTCAGTGTCTACACTGAAGGGGTCCTAGCGGGCATAGAAGAGATTGGCGAAAGTAGCGGGCCGATTTCTGTGAGGGGCTCTGGGCGGAAGGTTTCCGGTGGGCACCCCCTCAAGAGATTGGCGAAATTAGCTGGCCGATGTCGGTGGATGGCTTTCGGTGGGCGGCTGTTCTCTCACGGCGGTCTCTCTCTCTCTCTCTCTCTCTATATATATATATATATATATATATCATTGCTGTCGGCGGGCGCTCCCTTTTTTTGTTTCTCTCTCTCTCTCTCTTTCCTGGTATCTCACCATATCAGTCTCACTCTTTCGTGTTTCCCCGATGCGCAATTCATTAACGAATCGTGGTGTCTGATGTTTTTTCCTCTCCGTGTTATGCAGTACTTCACCCCCCCTCTCTCTATCATGTTTCTCTCTCTCTCTCTCTCTCTTTTTCCCGCCCTCTCTCTCTCTCTTTTCCTCTCTCTCTCTCTCTGTCTTTCTCTCTCTCTCTCTGTCTCTCGTGATAGTTGCTTATATATACATATATATATTTATATTTATATATATTTATATATATAGAGATATATAGATGTATATATACATAAGGGTAGGGGGTCCCGGGCCCCCGAAGTGCACCGATTTATCTTCTGGCCGTTTCGGGCCCAGCGGGCGGCGCCAGAAAACGCCAAAGGGGGCCGAGAGACGTCCAAGGGGGCGCCAAGATGGCCCAAGAGCGCTCCAAGAGAGCCCAAGACCGCACAAGAGCGTTTCAAACTTGGGCTAACATGGTTGAAGACAGCCCAAAAGGGCTTCAAGACGGCCAAGATGCTCTCAAAAGAACTTCCACGAGGCACTCAGGAGACGAAACAAGTTGGTTAGTTCAATGGGTTTTGACGGTTTTTCGTGTTCTCGCTGTTTCGTGTTTCCAACCATCCAAGGCAGCCCGCGAATCCCCAGAAATCAGTTCAACACGGTCCAAGAGGCACCCAAAGATGGCGCCATGACGGCGCAAGAGAGCCCCACCCAAGACGGCCGAAGAGCGCCCCAAGACGGCCCACGATGCGCCCAAGATCGCCCAAGAGGGCCCCAAGACGGCCCCAAGACGGGCCCAAGAGGGAGAACAGTAATCATGAATTCGAGCGTTCCGCCCCAAGAGGCCTCTTGGAGGCCCCTAAAAGGCCCCCAACAGAGGGCCCCCACGAGGCCCCACGAGGCCCCGAAGAGGACCAAAAAGAGGCCCCAAGAGCACCCCACACGGCCCCCCAGAGGCCTCCAAAACATACCAATGCATAGCAAAGGACCGCCTAGCCTATCGTGGCATCACAGCGTCGCATGACATGACATGGCACGGCACAGCACGACAGAGCTAACCGTGTCAGTGCATATCGCAGGATGGTTCAGCATGCCAAAGCATCGCATTCCATAGCAGTGTCTAGCTGAGCCTGGCACTGCACGTCACGACGTAACATTGTCTAGTATGGCATTGCCTATCATGACACATCGTGGCGTTATATGGCATTCCAATGCACATAGCTTAATCAAACAGCACCGTACTGCTCTGTGCAGCAGTAAGCAGAAGTCATGCAACTATCGCACCCCCGCTGTTGCTCTTATTGTCGTCCTGACTGTTTTAGTCTAGCAGTTCATAACGTGGCATAGCATTGCATTGTATTGCGTTGTGTAGCACGGTATGTCGTGCCTGCGTATGCCATATATCCCGGGATAATCGCGCGTAGGGAACATAGCTTGAGATGGCTCAGCGTATCATCCCACATAATATCATAGCATTTCCCAGCACAGCATGGCATGGCATGCAATGCGCACTGTAGAATATATCATGTTATTGCATTGCATAGGGTATAGTGTCATTGCGCTTTCCAGCATAGCATCGTGCATCATGACATTCCATAGCATAGTGCAACATGACGCTGTAGCGCAACATGTTTCCTGGCCCATGGCTTGGCGACAGATCACCTGTCGTCCGGCCGATGAGAGCGGAGGAGGAGGAATATGGGAGGGGCAGGAGGAAACAGAGAATGTTGACCTCAGTATTCATGACCTGCCTGTTGTCCCAATGCGGTCAGCATTCGACCAGCTAGAACCTGTGCGCGCGCGAAGCGCGCGCGATGGTTCTAGTGTATATATATATATACAGATATATAGATCTATAGCTGCGCAATACATTACAATCGTTATGTATGATGTTTTCCTCCGTGTTATACAGTCTCTCTCTCTCTCTCTCTCTTTTTCTCATTTCCCTTTCTCTCTCCCACACGCAAGGGCAATCAATGAGTTTGCCTCTTAGGGCTCTCATGCGAAACTTCGGCTGGGCATGGTGCTTGCAAAACTTTCGGGCCATTCACTGGTTGGGTTTTTCTTTGGTGTTATCGCGATATTGGACGCGCGAGTGCCCCATTTTCTCCCCATGAGCTATGTGATTGTGGTGCTGCAGAGGCAGGTCACATTCTTTGTATGTGAATACTTCGCGCATGAATGCCAAGCTCTGTGCCACAACCTATGCTGGTACAGGTGGTCATGCAGTACTGCGGGCTGGCCCATGGCGAACGTAATCAAATTCAGACAGCACGCTGTCAATGGATTCACCACTTGGTACAATCATTTGGGCTGGAGGTCGCGAAATATTTTGATTATTTTCATCCACGGTCTCACTGAAGTTTCCCACCGATCGGCCAGGACAAGGGCGTGGCCGCGAGGTCGCCCAACGCCTCACAAAGGAGCCATAGACACGTGCAATAAGGACCTCACGAACGGTTCAACGGTCGGAAACCAGGGCTGCTTAGTGGGCTCGGCCTTTAGCAAGGACGGCCCAGATGAAAATTGCAAGACCGGTTCCAGAAACGGCTCCAAGGACAGCCCCGCGGATGGATTCACGGAGTCGAACACGGACGGCTCCAGGGACGTTCCAAGGACCATTTCAAAGGTGCATCCACGGACGGCCAGTTCCAAGGGCGGCGCACGGAGGGCTTCATGTACAGTTTCCAACGGTTTCCAGAACCCTTGGTCGGACACATGGGCAATTTTATTGACGGCTTCAAGGACACTGGTGAGAGGGGTCGACAGAGACGGCCCCATTGACGGTTTCAAATATCTTGGGCAGGGGTAGATACAAGGACGGACTACATGTTTAAGGAGCTACAGGGGCTGCTTCCAGGGACAACCTCAGAAACAGCCTTCGGTGACCCGGGCAGGGACAGTTCCGAGGACGCTCCCAAGGATGGCATCCGCGGCACGGCCGCTTGCAAGAGTGGCCCTACGGCGACTACCAATTCAGCTGCAGTGGCTGCCTCAAGGCGACCTCGAGGAGGGAGGGGGTGTGTGTTCAAGAGAAGCTTCATGGAGCTGGATAGCGTGGGACCGTCGGTGCCCCCAAGGGGTGTTGTTCATTGGGACGAGCCGCAGACGCGTTGAGCTCCAGGACGAACTGCGTCGATTGGTTGAGGTGGAACAGG